ATATATATATATAATCTAGTGTGGACCCGTGTATTAAGTCCACGGGGCTGCGTGAGTCGAAGTTTGCCGACGCGTGCTTCTGTGTGTGGTGCGCAAATGCCAGCAAACTGCGGTGTGCGATCGACAACCAACGTGAAATCGACGATTCTCGCCTCTTCAGGCCCGGGCTTTTTGGGGGCGTCTTGGGCCTTCTGGGGCCGCCTTGACAGCATATTCGGCCGTCTTGGAGCCCTCGTGGACAGACTCGGGGCCCTCTTGGCTTGTCTTGGGGGCCTCTTGGGGGCTTGTTGGGCCATCTTGGGGGCCTGTCGGGGGTTTCTTGGGACCGCTTGGGGACCTCTTGGCCCCTCCTGGGCTGTCGTTGGGCTCTCTTCGGCGCCTCTTGGGCCGTCTCGGGGCGATCCTGGAGGGCTCTTGGGCCGTCTTGGGGGTCCAGACGGTCGAGAGCGCGAGAACCTCAGGATCCGTAGAAAAACCAAAGGGATTCTACGATTTCGGCCTCTCGGCGCCCTGTAGGGTGTCCCCTCGGAGCTGTCTCGGGGCGTCTTGGCGCGTTATGGGGCCGTCTTGGGAGCATCTTGGGCCGTCGGAGGGCCGTCTTGGGTCAGCTCGGGGCTGTCGTTGGTCGTCTCGGGGCCTCCTTGGGCCATCTGGGGGCTCTTCTGGGGAGCTCCGGTGCCGTTTCGGGGCCCTCGGGGGACCCTCCAGTGCCATTTCGGGCTCCCCGGGGGGTCTCGGGGAGCCCGGTGGCCCTCGCTAACCCGCAAAGCGGCTTACGGATTTATTTGAGTGGACATGGGGAGGGGGTCCTGGGAGCCCCGCAGTGCACTGATTTCGCTTCCGGTCGTTTTCGACCCGTCGGGGGGCGCCAAAACGCGTCAAAGGAGGGGAAGGGGGGCGATGAGACTGCCCGAGAGACGTGCAAGAGGGCGCCAAGATGGCCCAAGAGCGCTCCAAGAGAGCCCAAGACCGCACAAGAGCATGTCAAAATTTGTCCAACATGGCTTGAAGACATCCCAAAAGGGCCTCAAGACGGACAAGATGCCTTCAAAAGGACCCCCACGAGGCCCTCAGGAGGCGAAACAAATACCTTTTTCTATGGTTTTTGAAGGTTTTTCGTGCTCTCGCTTTCTCGTGCTTCCAACGGTCTAAGACAGCCCACGAGGCCCAGAAACCAGCTCAAGACGGCCCAAGAGGCACCCAAAGAGGGCGCCACGACGGCGCAAGAGAGTCCCAAGACGGCCCAAGAGTGCCCCAAGACGGCCCAAGAGGCGCCCAAGATCGCCCAAGAGGGCCCCAAGACGGCCCTAAGAGGGACCCAAGAGGGAACACGAACCGACAATTCAAGCTTTCCGCCCTAAGAGGCCCCTAGGAGGCCCCAAAAGGCCCCCAGGAGAGCCCAAGAGGCCCCCTAGAGGCCCAAAAAGAGTCCCCAAGAGCACCCCAAACGGCCCCCAAGAGGCTTCCAAAATTGCCTTCAAGAGGCCCCTGGGAGACCTCCCACGAGTTCCAAACGAATTTACAAGAGGCCTGTAACCTACAACCCCGGCATGGTGGCGGGATGGGCCGAAGGCTGCTAGATGGTCCAAGACGCCCAAGACGGCCTCCAGACGGCCCAAGAGGCCACCAAGATACCCATTAGGTTTCCAAGAGGTCTCCCAAAAGAGATCGAAGACGCCAGCAAACATTTATTGTCTGTAGGTTTTTTAACAATCTTGGCGTTTCCGCCTGTTCCGCTTCCCGACGTTGCAAAAAGCCCGAAGAGGCTTCGAGGATCGCCCCAAGACGGCCCACTAGGCTTCGAAAGCGTCCCAAGACGGCCCAAGACGTCCAAGATGACCCGAGAGGGCCCCAATCGGGGCCCAGGATCGGGAACGTGAGCCGAGAACCCGAGATCTTCGCCCCAGGAGACCCCAGGAGGCTTCAAGAGGTCCCCACGAAGCCCCAAAGAGGCCCAAAAGAGCTCCGAGAGAGGCACCGAGGGCACTGGAGAAAAACTGGAATTCCAACATTTCTTTTTTTTCAAGTTCGCCTGGCAGCTTCGCTACCTTTGGGAAAAAATGGAAATGTCAGATTTCCTGATCCTCCTCTTCCTCCTCCGGTTTCTCCTCCTCTGCGGCCTCCTCCACCCTCCCCAAATCCTCATCCGCCTTCTCCTTCTCCCCGAGGGAACCCCTCCACCTCCCCTTCTCCTCCCTCTTCCTCTGTCTACGTCCAGCCGCTGCGAACAAAAGGGGCCCCCGAAGTGCCTTTTGGGCCTGTCTTGAGCCGTCGTGGATGGACCGTTGGAGGTCATGGAAGCCACTTGGGCCGTCTTCGTGGTCATTGGAAGCCCCGGAGATGAAGTCTCATGGAATAGAGGTATCCCAGAGTGCGCCCATCCAGCCTAGCTAGAACTTGAGCGCGCGCGAAGCGCGCGATGGTTCTAGTATACACATATAGATCGGTTTATGCTGATGTGTGTGTATATATGTGTGTATATATATAGTTATATACACATATATGTTTATGCTTATATGTATATTGTAATGTATATTTCCATTCGTATTTTCCAAGTACACGGGACCCCACCACCCGAAATCGGACCTTCAGAAACCCAGGACCCAAGGACTTTCTGGACCCCCCGGATCTGCGGCCCCGGGCACCCCCTGGACGCCCTTTCAGGAGGTCCCCCATGCGCTTCAGAGCTTCTCGAAGCCATTAATGGGTCTAGGTAACGGGCCCACATCGGTCAGGAGGGCGGCCGAATTCCCCCCCGAGGGCTCCAAGAGGCCCCAGACATCCACCAGACGCCCTAAGACGACCCCAAGAAGACCCCCAAGAGGCTTCCAAAACGCAGTAAGACATGGATTGTCCAAAGTTTTTGCATGATTTTGGGAATGCCCTGTTTTTCGGTCTTCTGGGGAGACCGTTTGGGAGGCTCGAGGATCGCCCCAAAACCATCTGAAAGGGCTTCCAGGCAGTCCAAAAGAGTCCCAAGACGGCACAACAGGGTTCAAGATGGCTTAAGCGAGCCCCATGACGGCCCAAGATAGCCCCAAGACACCCTCCGAATCATTCCAAATCGTGACCCGGTCGGTCAGGAAGACCGCAGCTGGAGGCAGGGTGGCCCCAGGATGCCCGCAGAGGCCCCCAGAAGACGCCCCGGATGCCTCCAGAAGGCCTCCCGAAGGCCTTACGAAAGCATGAAAAACTTCCGTGAGCCCCCCTGAGGCTCTCCAAGGAAGAGCCTCCGCAAAAAGAGCTGAGGATGATTGGGAATAATTTGCAGGGTAGGGCGAGAATAAGGAAAAGAAACAGGGTAGGGCGAGAATGAGAAAAATAAGCATGGAGGAAGGATCACGAATCACATTATATAACAGCGATGCTGGCAAAGGCAACAAGGAAATATCGCTAAATTGTATGTTTGACCTTCCTGCCGCCTGTAGCTTCAAGGACCAAGGTGCACGGCGCGAAGCGCCACTGCAGTCTTGTATAGTTATAGTGTGTTTGTGTATGTATATGTATATGTTTATGTATATGCATAGGTATATGTATGTGTACTTGTAGGTGCATTTGTATATGTAAAGTATATGTATATATGTATGTGTATGTATGTGTATATGTATACGATAATGGCTATGTATATGTGCTTGTATAGTTATATGTGTATGTACATGTACATGTGCATGTACAATTATATGTACATGTATATGTACTGTAGATGTATGTGTCAATGTAAATGTATAGGTATGTGTATGTGTATGTGTATGTGTATCTGTAATGCACAGATCATGTTTGTGTATATATATGTGCATTTGCATAGTTATAGAAACATGTATGTGTATATATATACATTCTTATGTATATGTGGATATATATATATATATGTATGTATAGGTGTATGTATAGGTATATGTATATGTGTATATGCACGTGTCTGCATATGTTTCTGTAGATGCAGATGTAATTGTATACGTATATGTGTATGCATATGGATATGTGCATGTACATGTATATGTATATGTACATGTACATGCAAATGAATATGTATATGTGGATGTATAGGTATATGTATATGTATGTGTATATGCATATATTTATATGTATGTATATATATATATATGTATTTGTAAATGTATATGTATATGTTTATGTAAATGTATGTGTATATGCATATGTATGTGTATGTGTATATGTATATGTATATGTATATGTATATGCATATGCATATGTATATGTATATGTATATGAATATGCATATTTATATGTATATGCATGTGTATATATAGATGTATAGGTATATGTATATGTATATATATATATATATGTTTACTCATTTGTATCTGCATATGTGTATGTGTATATGTATGTGCATATGTTTGTGTATATATATATGTTTGTCTGCCTGCCTGTCTGTCTGTCTGTCTGTCTGTCTGTCTGTCTGTCTGTCTGTCTGTCTGTGTCTGTCTGTCTGTCTATCTGTCTGTGTGTCGGTCTGTCTGTCTGTCTGTCTCTCTGTCTGTCTGTCTGTCTTCGTGTGCGCGCTCATCCGTTCGTGTGTCTCGCTGGCTCGTTCTGTTAGTCTGTTTGCTTTTGCTTACGGTTGAACGAGCATGTTTGCATCATTTGGGCGCCAAGGCAAACTTTGGAAATGCCGAACCGGGCCCCCGAAATCACGGTTGAACGCGAAACGCGCAGTCAAGGGAGAGTCATCTTTTCTGTCGCCCCCTAGCGCCCGTGACACCCTCCAGTACGACGGTCGGGATGTGGGAGAGGGCTACGCGTCTTCGGTTCGCTGTTCAGCCCTAGCGGAGCGAACATTTTCGCTTCAGTACTCCTGTTGCTCGTGTGTGCTCACACGCGCACTTTCAAGATGAGGGCGCCTATGTACCACATGATAGCAGGGTAACGAGACAGAACTCGTAGCACGTAGGAGGCTTCCTGCTTTCGCTGTGTTCGTGCTGAGGTCTCGCGCGCGGCCGCCCCGCTCTTCTCACTGCGCGAGCTTTGAAGGGGAGGCGCAACGATGAAGATCGTGATGCTGCTGGTCCGCTCGCAGTGCCTTCGCAGGCGAGTGGCCATCCAATCTAGCTGCCTGCGTCAAGTTCCGCCACCGTGCCATCGCAGCATTCTGCGTGGCGACGCCCAGAATGTAGTAGCATGTTGCGCCCCTCGTTTCTAATCCTTGAGGGTCTCTCAGGAGGCCTATCTGGGCCTTCAGGGGCTGTCTCAAGGAGGAGGAGAAGGAGGAGGAGGAAGTGGAGGAGGAGGAGGAGGAGGTGAATGAACAGGGATCCCTTTCATGGAGACGCCGACGAGGAAAAGGATGAGTATAAGATGATGTGAAGAGGGAGAACGGGAAGAGGAGCAGGGTAAGGGACTGCAGTGGACCGGGGATGATGACGGCGGTGACGTTATGCTGATGATAATGGTGATAATGATGAGTGTTGTGATGGTGATGTTGAAGGTGACCATGACCATGGCGATGACGATGAAGATGACGGGGATGAGGATGACAATGATGACGATGATCATGACCCTATCTAGAACTTGAGCGCGCGCGAAGGGCGCGCGATTGTTTTAGTATATATAGGTGTGTATGCATATCAATGTATGTGCATATATGTATGTATGTATCCATGAATATACGTATACGCATATGCATTTGTCTATATGTATTTATATATATGTATATGTATATGTGTGTACATGTGTATCCATTTGTATGGGTACATGTCTATGTACAAGTGTACGTATGTGTGTATGTATATGTATACATAAGGGTATAATGTTGTTATGTACATGTTTAGCTGTTTATGTACATGAATTCGCACTTTATGAACATGAACTTACATTTGTACATGCAAATGCATACACATGCACACATGCATTTGTGTATATATATATATATATGAATATTTACATACAGGCATACGTATATATATATGTATATATATGTGTGTACATATATATCGATATGTATGCGTTTATGCGTCTATGCCTCTTCATAGCCAGGTGTTTATGCGTAAGAATATGTCTATGCATATGCAAGCGCATCTGTATATGTATGTATATGTACGTATAGGTATATGTCGATGTCTATGTATATGTTTTAGCAGATGCATATGTGTATGTATACTTGTACGTATATGTTCATGCCTGTGTACACGTATAAGTACATGTATATTTATATGTAGACGTATGTGCATGTGTGTAGGTGTACGGGCATGTATATGTGTACGTATGTATGTGTGTTCGTCCATGCGTGTGTCCGTGTACATGTACATGTATATGTATATGGCTGTGCATTGTATATGTGCATGTGGATGTATATGTATATGTAGCAGTTTTGCGCCCAGTCCAGCGATGCAACTGTTAAAGCTCTTTTGACTGAAGGGATCGCGCGTATGGAGTGCGCGTGCCGTGCGGGTCAAATCACATGTACACGTACATATACACGTAGATGTATATTTATATGTATAGGTGCATGTACATGTATGTACATGTATGTGTTTATATGTACGTGTATACGTACATGTATTTACATATATATATATATATATAAATGTGTAGATGTGTGTATGTATGTATACATGTATAGGTTTCGGTATTTTTATGTATACGTATATGTAAACATTTATGCATACGTAGGTGTATATATGTGTGTGTGTATGTGTACGTGTATTTGCATATGCATATGTATTCATGTATGGATGCATCTTTTCATATATAGATTATGTACAAGGATCCCTTCCAGTTTGGGTACCGATCTCACTGTCAACGTTTGGTATTAGGTATCGATCGACAGCCAAGGGACAAACATCGTAACAACCGTCGGGCCAACCACGGTACAACCATCAGGGCACCCATCGGGACAACCACAGGAGAGCCATTTCGACAACTATTTGGACAGCCAGCGTCAAAACCATCGGAACAACAATCGGGACAACCGCGGAGCAACCATAAGGACATCCATCGGGGCAGCTACGGGACAACTTTCGGGACAACCGTCGGGACAACTAATGGGACAAGCATTTTGGCAACCATCGGGACTACTACTGGGACAAGCATCAGGACAAACATCGGGACAACGTCGGGGCAACCATCGGGACACCCATCGGGTCAACCATCGTGGCAACCTCAAAACAAAGTCAGGACAACCAAGGGCAACACGGGAGACAAGCATTGGGCACGCCTTTGCGGACCGGACCCGTCTCAGTTTGGCCTGACTTGACTCGAGGTCGTGCAGGAATTCGCGCAGCTTCGCCTCGCCCGCGCGCGCGACACGAGCTCACTCACCGAACCCGATTTCACGGTTAGGGGCCACCGTTTCATTTTGGTTCGGCCCCCTCAATTTCCAATTTATTTGTCTATATGGTTTAGCAGTACTTCAATGTGTCTATCCAACTTTCCAGCGGGACATCCACAGGACAATCCTGGGGCAACCGCAGGGCCACCTCAGGTACGCCACGAGACAACCACGGGACAACCACGGGACAACCACGAGACAACCCCGCGCACCTTTTGGAGGTCCGCGGCTCTTTCTGGCGCGAACTGGGCCTGTCTAGTGCAGGGATTCGCGTGGTTTCGCCTCGCCCGCACGCGCGACACGAACCGAGGCCGAAACCGATGTCCCACTCGGACGACTCCGTTTGTTGTCGGTCGCACCCTCCAGCCTCCAACCAAGCTTGCGGCATCATTGCAAGTAGCGATCTCTTGAAAGACTCCATGGCCCTGCCATTCAGGCGACATGTCCGTGTTTCAACAAGAAGCTGTGTTGCATCAGTGTAGCAGGTGGTCATGAACGCAGAAAGATACGATTACACATTCCAGCTCGGTATCCGCGCATCTGTGGACAAGTCTACGTCTTCGGCCACTGAATTCGCGGACGCCGCACACGAGAATCTCTTCGTGAAAAGGAGCCGTCCTCCATCCGTGCAGCTGCGACATATGTCCCAGCTGCTCGTCTCAAGCGAGAGCCCCATTGGGAAAAGGCACCGCCGCCTGCCCATTCTGCGCTTGCAGGCCGTTAAGACGAATGTGGCGGGTCGGTCAGGCGAGGGCCTCATTTTGAAAAGGAGCCGCCATCTATCGTTGTTGCAGAGGTTGGGAAATTCAGCCTTCAGGGTTGTAAATCGTGAGGAGGTCTCTAGTGAACAGGTCGGCCTGTCCTACCGACACGTCTGGTGGTGCAACAGGGAGGAATTATGTAGAAGGAAAAGGATGGAGGCGGGGAACGAGGAATTGCGGAGGGGGAGAAGCGGAGGGAGAGAGGGAGGGAGGTAAAGGGGGTCGTTACTGATCCTTTTGGTGCTTGATTCGCTTGCCGTCCACCTCCATTGTCGCTTTGCGAAATCCAGAGCAGGGTTTCACGAGCCACGAACCTTCCCGCAGGGCATTCGTTCTGCACCTGTTGGCCACCTACCTGTGGCTCTTCTTCCTGATCTTCTGGCTGGAGAAGCACCCTTGACAGCCTCCCGCTCCTTTCTCTCTCCTTCTGACAGCCTCGGCTGACCAAGGACATCAATCTGGCCCGTGACGCCCCAGCGTTTCTGCAATTTGCTTCTGCTCGTGCTGTAGAGGGTCCGTGCTGGATTCGGATGTCCGAGTGGAAGGCGTTCAATATTCCTCTTCTCCCTCTTCGTTGTTATCCTTATCCTTCTTCAGTTGCTCCCTCGATTCCTTCCTTCATCCATCCTCCCTGCTTCACCCTCCACGCTTCTCTATGTATCAGCTGTAACTCCTCAATGTCTGGACAATGCGTTGCTTCTGGCTCCCCAGCGCGTCTAACATTGAGGCTTGTAGCTTGCAGGGGGCTCTGCATGTAAGGTGCTTGATGTGAAAAGGTGGTGCAGGCGTTGCTGGTACTGATCAGAGCAATCGCATGAGCCCAGCGCGACCCCATCAAGGGTAGCAATCTTTCTGAAGGCACACGTTCGCAATGCAATACCATCAGGTTCAACGCAACAAGTGGCACGTGTGCCATGGATCTTGCGCAAACAGGAAGGGGGAGGAGGAGGAGGAGGAGGAGGAGGAGGAGGAGGAGGTGGAGGGGGAGGGGGGGAGAGGGGGCAAGCCATCGCCCCTCGGGGCCCAGCAACGGGGCCCAAATCCCAGGTGGGGAGGGGGGGGGAGCGTCGCGACGCGGAATAAAGCGCTCGGAGCGGAGGGGGCACGGGGCGGAGGTCCCACTGGGGCGCTGGGGGCGCGGAGAGGAGGGGGGGGAGGTGGTGTGCGTCGCGACGCGGAATAAATGGTCGGGGCGGAGGGGGCACTGGGCGGGGCTTGGGGCAGAGGGCCACGGGGCGGGGGTCCAACTGGGGCGCTGGGGACGGGGGGGGAGGGGGGGAGGTGGTGTGCGTCGCGACGCGGAATAAAATTGTCGGGGCGGAGGGGGCACGGGGCGGAGCCCCCACTGGGGCGCTGGGGACGCGGGGAGGGAGGTGGGGGAGGTGGTGTGCGTCGCGAGCGGAGGGCAGTGGGCGGGGCTCCCGCTGGGGCGCTGGGGACGCGGGGGGGCTCGGGGCAGAGAGCCACGGCGCGGGGGTCCCACTCTGGCGCTAGGGACGCGGGGGGGGGGTGCGACGCGGAATAAAGCGTTCGTGGCGGAGGGGGCAGGGGCAGTGGGTGGGGCCCCCGCTGGGGTGCTGGGGACGCGGGAGGGCTCGGGGCAGAGAGCCACGGCGCGGGGGTCCCACTCTGGCGCTGGGAACGCGGGGGCGGGGGGGGGGGCGACGCGCAACAACGCGTTCGTGGCGCGGAGGGGGCAGTGGGCGGGGCTCCCGCTGGGCGCCGGGGTCGCGGGGGGGGCTCGGGGCAGAGAGCCACGGCGCGGGGGTCCCACTCCGGCGTTGGGGACGCGGGAGGGGGTGTGGGGTATGCGACGCGGAATAAAGTAATCGGAGCTCAACCGTATCACTTCGCAGAGACAGTGCCTAGCCTTGTATATCAAGCCATAGCGTAGCAGGGTATACCATGGCGCGCCGTAACATGTCATGGCGTAGAGCTGCATATCATGGCAGACCATATATGTTTGAGCCGCCTGGCATTTTTTAGCCCAGAAAGCCATAGCACAGCATTGACATATCATCGCGTAGTAACTCCCAACACCGCGTTGCACAGCATACCATGGCATCGCACAGCATGGCTTAGCATATATTAGTGCGGGGAATTGCCGCTCGGGTCACCAGGAACCACCTGACAATGTCTGACAGGCAGCTTGTTCTTCACATGAAAAGTCAGAAAGAACCGACTCAGGCAAACTTAACAGGGCAGTGACTGCAATGAGATGATGTTGATAATGGTGATGATGATGATGATGGTGTTGATGATGATCTTGTTGATGATGGCGATGATCTGTTGTGAGAAAGTGCGTGAATGCAGGAATATACACAAGAAGAGGAAACATAATAGTAAGAAACTCGGCCCGAAAGCCTTTCGGCACACAGCGACCCTCAATCCAATTCGAGGCTGCCTGCCAGCATGTGTGCTGCACCGACCAGGGCGACGCCAGAGACACCGCAGGACCTTGGGTTGGTAATTTCGATGAACTCGTCCTCTCCAGCGCAGGATCCTTCTAGGGAAAGCCTTTCCGCTCGGGCCATGTCGGGGTGGGTCAACGTGGAGAAACCAGAAGCCAGGGATCAGGTCCAGATGAGAAGTTGGGTATGCCAACTGACCAGAAGGGATAGCTCTCGACTTCGGAGCTCCGGGCCATTTTCACGAATCTTATTTGTCACGAGCAGCCAGAGGTATTTCAACCCAGAGATGCCGAAGATCGCGACGCAGCTCGCCTTTGGTGGCACAGGGGAAGCTAGTACGGGAAGGGCGATGCAATATCAAGGATGTCTGTACGCCGCCTGGCTTACGGCTGGGGGTGGCGGTCGAGCGGTCAGATCCACTTCCGCCTCACCACCTCTTTTCCCCCCTCCGTTCTTTTGGTGGTCTCCACACCAGGTGGTGAGACACCCGGTGGTGACCCCGATTCCCCCCAAAATAATTCTGGGTCGCCACCGGGTTTGGGGACACGCGGCCGCCACGAGGTTTTGCGCTTCCTGGGCCAGCCGGCGCTCGAAAACCATTACCCGAATCGCCCAAAACTCACCACCCGGGTGTTCTCACCACCGCGGAGGAGGAGGACGAGGAGGAGGAGGAGGAGGAGGAGGAGGGAGGAGGAGGAGGAGGAGGAGGAGGAGGAGGAGGAGGAGGAGGAGGGAGGAGGAGGAGGAGGAGGAGGAGGAGGAGGAGGAGGAGGAGGAGGAGTTCTTGCCGGCGAAAACTCAGCCGAGCACGCAGAGGTGCGCGCGGAGGACCACCGAGGAGGTCCCGGGCGCCTGCCGCACGGGACCAGCAGCGATGGGGGCGAGTGCGGCCTCCTTCCCTCGCTCTGCGGGTGCGCTGCGGCTGCGGTCGCCTTCCTCCTCCTCCTCCTCCTCCTCCTACCCTCCTCCTCCTCCTCCTCTCCTCCTCCTCTCCTCCTCCTCCTCCTCCTCCTCCTCCTCCTCCTCCTCCTCCTCCTCCTCCTCCTCCTCCTCCTCCCCCTCCCCCTCCTCAACCACCCTCTCTGGGGACATGGAAGAAGAGTTTGCCACGGCCCACGTCTTGCAGGCGGTGCGTTGTGGGCGCGACCAGTGCGCACTTGGACGCAGCGTGGCGGACAATTGCTTCAGTCATGCACGGCACGTCCAGCTCGCTTCAGCGCAGAGGCGCTTGTCAGTGCTGATGTCGTGCTCACTTCTGGCGTGCGAGATGAGAGACTCCCACACGCCAGCGCACTCGTTGCAGCGAGTGCACTGGTGTGCAGTGGCGGCAGCATTGAGCGCATCAGTCCAGTATCTGTCACAGGCACCTTAACAATAGATGGACTGGACAATGTTGTGCCACGTATCGCCTCGCTGCACCAGAATACCAAACCATGCATGAGGGTTGTCAGTTCCCCACCGTGTGATCACATGGAAGACGTGCGGGGAAGCGTCGCTGCTCACCTGGCACTGGGACGCGACAAGACCAGCAAAGCAATGTATGGCAGTCGGACCTCACCAGCCGTGCGACATACAAGAGGCGCTCGCGGAGGATACTGCGATCGAGCGAGCACGTGTTAGCACGCCAGCAAACCTCCTGGTCGGAGCCAGGAGTGCCATTGATATAGATCCTGTCGCATAATCCGACGAACGAAAACGACGAACCACTAGCTATGGTTTGGTCCTGGCCTTGCGGACCTTGTCGTCGCGCAGCAGTGTGACAGAACTAGGCTCTGTCAGCGCGCGAATGGCAGGCAGAAGCTGCTCTGTCGACGCGGGAATGGCAGGCAGAAGCAGAAGCTGCTCTGTCAACGCGGAAATGGTAGGCAGAAGCTCAAATCTGGACAACCGAGAATTTTGCCAGCGATTGGAGCATAACGCGACAGGGCAATGTTAGCCCGCTGCCGCACCTATGGCCAAGTGCTTGTACGGCATGAAGAAAATCCTTGCAACTAGGCGCATAAAGCTCATAGCCGCAGACGTTCGTGCTGCTCTTGGGCGCCTTTTTTCCGCAGCATGTCGCGAAATCTTCTGCTCCGGAGTAGCACGAAGGCTTTGGGCTTCGGTGATGCTCCCTCCCCTCCCCTTGTGAACGCAGCATCACACAGTGCCATGAGCTCGGCAAGGTGGTGGGTCAGCAGGGGCCGCCAAACATATCGTAGCATTCCGATGGCAACCGTCGTGTTACCAGCCGCAAAATTAATGCGTCTTGAGCAGAAGTGGTGGAACCACGCCTTTCTGCAGCGGGAAGTGGGCTTACACATGTCTGAGCGATAGTTCATGTGATGCTGTGCCGCGCGTTCCGTCTGGTGGCTAGTTCTCAGCCATCCCCATCGTTGTCCCATTGTTCCGTTGTTTCGGCGGCGAGCCCAGGGGGGAAGTGAGAAGGGGCGGGCTTTCTCGGAAGGCTCGGAAGTCCCTCGGCCTTCTGAGAAGTTTTCTAGCCTTCCCCGAAGGCATGGGCAATTCTTCACGCTTCGCGTATCCCCACCATCCCCGGCTTGCCAACGTGGCGGTTGTGTTCGCAAATTCGCATTGTGCCGCCCGCCCCAGACATTGCCCCTCGCCGCCAGGCCGTTGTCGCGCGGCCGCAGACCAAAAAAGTATCCCCACCATCCCATTCAGAAGCCCTGCCCACGAAAGCTGACGGGAAAAAGGGACGAAGGGGCACATCTAGGGAAACAAAGCGAGCAACCAGGATGAACCGAGAGATCTCTGGGAGCAAGGGGATGGCCTTGGAAGGCCTCTTCGGGCCATCCCTGGGGGCCGCGTGGGGGCGAGGGGAAGAGGAGGAGGAAGAGGAGGAGGAGGAGGAGGAGGAGGAGGAGTAGGAGGAGGAAGAGGAGGAGGAGGAGGAGGAGGCCTCTTAGGCGCCTTTTGGGGCATTCTTGGGGCCTCCTGTGAGCTTCCTGGGGGCCTCTTGGAGGGTTTTTGGCGGCCTTTGGGGGCTTCTTGGGGGCCTCTTTGGCCGTCTTAGGGCGTTCCTGGCTTGTCTGACGCCGTCGGACGCCGTCTCGGGGGCCTGTCTGGGTCGTCTTGGGGCCCTCCTGGGGCATATCAAGGGTTCTTAGAGGCCATCTTTGGCGTCTTGGAGGCCTCTTGGGCCGTTTTGAGGCCCTCTTGGGGCCGTCTTGGGGGCCGTCATGTGGCCATCTTGGAGGCCTCTTGGGCGATACTGGGGGCCTTGCGCCGTCTTGAGCCGTCGGAATGCCGAGAAGAAGCAAATGCCAACATCTGTCAAAAACCTTAGGACAATCAATGATTGTGGCCTCTTCGTGCCCTCCTGGAAGTCCTCCTGGACGCCTTTTGGGCCGTCTTGGAGGCCTCTTGGGGGCCTCTTGGGCCGTCTTGCGCCATCTTCTGGACATCTTAGGCCGTCCTTGGGTGCATCTTGGACCGTCTTGGAGGCATCTTGGGGCCATCTTCGCCGTCTTGGAGATTATTTTGGCCGTCTTGGATGCCTCTTGGGCCCTCTTGGGGCCGTCTTGGGGGCCTCTTGGGCCGTCATGGGGCCATCTTGGATGCCTCGTGGGCGATTTGGGGGGCCTCTTGGGCCGTCTTGAGCCGTCTGAATGCCGAGAAGAAGCAACTGCCAAAATCTGTCAAAAACCTACGGAACATCGATGATTGTGGCCTCTTCGGGCCCTCCTGGAGGACCTCTTGGAGGCCTCTTGTGCCGTCTTGGAGGCCTTTTGGGGGCGTTTGGGGCCGTCTTAGGCCATCTGGAGGCCATCTCAGGCCGTCTTGGGTGCATCTTGGGTCGTCTTGGAGGCATTTTGGGGCCATTTCAGCCGTCTTGGAGGCCGTCTTGGGCGTCTGGGAGGCATCTGGGGCCGTCTTGTGGCTGTCTTGGGGCCCTCTTGGGGGCCCTGGAAGACCTCTTGGGGCCATCTTGAAGGCCATCTATCAAAGGAGTAGCGGGGATAACGTTCAGCCTTCCCCCAAAGAGGCCAACATGGGGCCAAAACCTTAGTAAAAGCAATGATTTTGGCGCCCAGAGGGCTGGTGGGATAACGTTCAGCCCTCCCCCTCAAAGAGGCCAACATGGGGTCAACACCTTAGTAACATCAATGATTTGGGCGCCCAGAGGGCTGGTGGGACATTTTCCAGCCCCCCCCACAGAGGCCAACATGGGGCCAAAACCTGCGTAAAACCAATGATTTTGGCTTCCTCGCCGAGGCCGTTTTGGACGCCCTGGCACCTCGCGGGGGCCCCCAAAAAAGTCCAGGGGAGGGGTAAGGGGAGGGGTAAACCCCTCCCCGTAGGGGAAGAGGAATCTCGTTAGACCACCTGTCGCCCAAAGGGCCGGTGGGACTTCTCAGAAGGCGCGAGGGCTTCAGAGAAGTCCCGCCGCCTTCTGGGAAGGCCTCCTCCGTCTCACCTCTCCCCTCGTTCGCCGCCCACTGTTGTTGCTGCTCCTGCCTGTCTGCGATCCTCCGAGCTGTCCTCAGATTCCAGGAGTGTGTTCTGGAATCTGGAGCGCTACCCTTTGCGTCCTGTAGGTTCGCAGCGCCACTGACACGTCCAAATCATCCGCATGCCAGAAGAGACGGAGAAGGATAACGCGGGAAGAGGAGGGAAGAAGGAAGGAGGAGGAGGAGCAGGGGGAGTAGAAGGAGGAGGAGGGAGGGAGGAATGGTAGGGAGAGGTGGAGGATACTTGTGTGGTCGAGGCACGCTTTCAGTCGTTCCATTTTCATGTTGGTTTCCATCTTCGTTGTCGTCCTTATTATTCTCTCAACCCTTCTTCCCTTCCTCCACGCCCCTTTTCCTTGTCATATCCCTCCTCTGCCTGCTCTTCTTTCGTGCCCTTCTCCATCCTCCAGCCTCCCCCAGCCTCCTTCTACGAGTTATCCTCCTCCTCGTCCTCTTTCTGCTGTTCCTCCTTCTTTTTTTCTCCCCCTGCATCTCCCTTTTCTCCTCCAGAGAATTTTCTAGTTCCTCTTCTCGCCCTCCTCATCCTCGTCTTCTCGTCTCCCCCTCTTCTCCTTCATCCTCCTTTCCCCCTTCTTTTCCTACTGCTAGCCCCCCATCTCCTTATCCCTCACCTCGGCCACCTCGGCTCAAGCCGCCTTGAGCGAACGGACCGCGCGACCATCTCCCCTCGCCCGCCCCGCATTCCCAGGGTTGTTTCGCGAGCATGGATCAGACCGAGAAGGCTTTCCAGAAGCAGGACGCAGTCTTCATCGGTGCGAAGCGCCTCCTCGGGAAGAAGGCTGGCAAGAAGGCCCTGCGCTACTGGCGCAACGTGGGCCTCGGCTTCAGCACCCCGAAGGAGGCGAAGGAGGGAAACTTCGTCGACAAGAAGTGCCCGTTCACGGGGAACGTCAGCATCCGCGGCAAGATCCTGAAGGGCATGGCGATCTCCTGCAAGATGAAGAGGTCCGAGGCGGGAACTTATACATGACCACCGCCCAGAGGGTCAGTTTTCGGAGCCTCGGCAGGCGGTGGACATGGACATCTTCGGGCCCCCAGGGGCCGAAATGGATCCTTATCCACCGCCCGCTGGGGCACCAGGACGTTGGTTCCCAGGCGGTGGATATGGATACAGTCGGGGCGCTGAAGAAGGAACCCTTTTCGTTGGGGAGGGGCTCGGTGCTCCTTGATTATTTCAAAGTTTGCCTCGGGTTTTCCTGGGGGTTCCATGGGAAATCGAGGTTGCACTGATGGGACAAAGGGGCCTCGTTCCTTACTTAGGGTTCCTTAGGGCAACGCCTCGACTGTAAATCCCCGCCTCGCCAGAGGACGGTCATCATCAGGCGCAACTTCCTCCACTATCCGGGCCGCGCTGCCGCGGGCGCCCGCAGACCCGCGCCGCGGGCCAGGTGGGGCGGGCAGAGCGGTCCGCGCCCCCCGCCGACCAAACAGCCTCGCGCTCGGCCTCACGCTTCGCCAGGCCAGCCACAACCGGGGGGAGCTGTGGTCCTTACCCCCCCCTGGGGGACCCATCGATTTCGACACCCCTCTCAAGAGATCGTCGATGCGATGGGTTCCCCAGGGGGGCAAGGACCGCAGCTCCCCCAGTCATGGCTGGTCGGCTCGTTCGGGTGGCCGGAGGCTGTGGGACGCCCGGGGGGGGCAGATGGCGGCGCTCGCGGGGTTCCAGGATCACAAGGCTTAAGGCGTGCCTGTCCCTCTACAGGAGGAATAAGCAAAAACAGGAAAAGAACAGTCTGGGGACGATTTTGGAGTATTTGTTTGACCATTTTGGGGTATTTGTTGCGTATTTATTTATTTTTCGTCGAAGATCCCCCTGTAGGGGGGACACGCCCGACTTAAGACAAGGCCCATCGTGCTGTCCCGCAGGACGTAAGAGCCATAACGAACAGCAAGAGTTCAGGCACATATCTCCTGAGCGGAGCGCGCGTGTCCCAGCCACGCGCGGAAGAGGGTCAGATCAGGGCTGATCAGATCTGATGTTGGTGGCCCTGGAACAAGAGACGGCACAGGTGGGGAGCGACGATTGCAGGCAGGAAGAGCAACACATCTGGGTTAATTATATCTGGATTCAATCAGCATCCGATCTGATTTATGTGAAAAATGACGCTCTCGCCCGAGACATCCTCACAATATGAATATGTTGAAATCGGGCGTGAACTCGCCCTGATACTCCGAAATGTCCGTTTCGCTCGAGACATGCTCCGAACATTGAGATGCTGAACTAGTTGCGCTTGGACGTCTTATGTTCAAAATGAGGCTCTCGCCCGAGACATCCCCAAATATACGAGATATTAGAATCGCTAGCGAAATTGCCGCGATATCCAAACTGAGACTTTCGCTCAGGACATCATCTAATAATCGACTTCGGATGTGATCCTAAACCAATCAGGACGGCCGTCTCGCTCGAGACATCCTCGAAAGGATCAGTTTCAGAGCAAATTTTGAGCCGACATCGTGTTTCGTCCCTGCACCAACCAAAACGGCCATCCCGCCAGAGACACCCCCCCACACACAACGATCTCGGAGGGAGCTCTGAAACACTGAGTGAAGAAAACAACGAACCTATTTTTTGGCGGCCCTCCTCAGCCCCAAAAGACGCTCCAAAGGGCCCCACGAGCGCCTAAGAGCGCCTAAAAGGCCTTCCATCATCGTCATCATCATGATCGTCCTCATCGTCCTCAGCGTCATTATCAGCGTCATGATCAGCATCGCCATCGTCACCCTCGAGAACACTGGATGCTGAACTAGTTGTTGTATGACTTCTTCTATTGCTCGAGTCGGCAGGATAAACATTACCGGGATCACGTCTGATGTCATCCCCAGTAGGCTAACTCCCATTCAATTGCGCCCAGCGCTCATGTGTGTGCATGGGGTGCGGTCGTTGGCGGGTGCGTTCGCTGCGGTGTTTCTGCCGTTGAAATGTGGACACGTTTGGTGGCAGTGGCAGTTGAAACCTTGGCACATTTGCTGCAATCCTGTGTGCGTAGTTGCTGGAGGCAGTTCAAACGTGTACGTTTGGTGCCAGTGGTAGTTGAAACGAGAGTGCGCTGACTGCCATCCAGTGGTATAGCCGCCGGTGATAGAGGAAACGTGACTACGTGTGCTGCGGACCTTCTGCCGTTGAATTGTGGGTACGTTCGCTGCCCGTGCCAGTTGAAACGTGGGTACGTTTGCGGCGATCTTGCTGTGTAGCTGGTGGTGGCAGTTTAAATTCGGGTACGCTCGCTGCCGTCCTGTGTAGCTTCTGGTTGTCAACAACATGTGGGTACAGTTGCTGCGGCATTTCTGCTTTAAATGTTGGCGTATGTGCTGCCAGTGGTAATTAAAATGTTGGTACCTGACATGTGAGTACGTTTGCTGCTGCTCTTTTGGTTTCACGTCCCATACCCCCATGGTTTTGGGCACGTCCGCTGCCATATTGTGGCATCGCTGCTGGTGATTGTTGAAATATGGGTACGTTTGCTGCGGCTTTTCCGTCGTTGAAATGCGGATGCGTTTCCGCCGGCGTCAGTTGAAACGTGGGCACGCTTGCTGTCATTATGTGGTGCCAGCGGCAAATGAAATCTGGGTACGTTTGCTGCGACCCTTCTGTCGTTCTACGGTTGTCCCCCTCATGGTTTCACGATTTACACCCATGGTTTCGTGATTGTCCCCACCCCTGTTGCACGAGTCACTCCCTCATGGTTTCACGGCTGCCCCCGGATGCATTCAGCATCTCCATTGTTTGAGGATGTCTCGAGCGGGACCTTCTTGTTGAAATGTGGGTACGTTTGCTGCGAATGGCATTTGACATCTTGGTACGCTTGTAGTGTCGGAGCAGCTGCTGGTGATAGAGGAAATGTGGACACGTTTGCTGCGGCCCTTCTGCAATTGAACTGTGGGTAAGTTTGTTGCCCGTGGGAATTGAAATGTGGGGACGTGTGCAGCGATACTGCTGTGTAGCTGGCGGTGGCAGCTGTGTAGCTGCTGGTGGTAAATAACATGTGCGTATATTTGCTGCGGCATTTCTGTCTTGAAATTTATTGCTTTGTGTGCTGCCAATGGCAATGGACATGTTTCTGTTAATGGCTCGAGACATCCTCGAACGTCGGCCTCGGAGGGGACTCCGAATCGACATCGTCTTGGAATCGCTCCGGGAGGGCCTTCGAACGGCCCAAAGGAGGCCCAAAAGATGCCTCCCCCCCAGAGGACCCCTAGAGCGCCCAAGAGTGCCCCAAGAGGGCCCCAAGAGACCCCCAAGAGATCCCCAAGAGCGCTCCAGGAGGCACCAAGACAGCTGAGGAGGGCCCCAAGACGGGCCAAGAGGGCTCCAAGAGACTCCCGAAAACGCCCCAGGAGGCCCCCAAACGGCCCAAGGAATCCCGAAGACGGCCCAAGCTGGCGCCGCGGCGGCCCAAGAAAGCTCCCAGAGAACCCCACGACGTGCCCAGACAGCCCAAGAAGACCCCAGAAGCCTACAAGAGGACCCACGAGGCCCCCAAGAAGCCCCCCGCAGGCCCCAAGTCAACCCCGCGCGGCGCCAGGAGCTCCCGGGTGGCCCGATAGGGTCACCAGGACCCTCTCCTGATTCAACGTCCTGCTCCAGTTGCCTCTGACTGTCCTCGTTCGTCGTCGTCGTCGTCGTCCTCCTCCTCCTCCTCGTCCTCGTCCGCATTCCTCCTCGTACTCGCCCTCGTTCTCTGCCTCCTCGTCCTGGTGCTTCTCTTCCTCCTCGTTGTCCTCATGCTTCTCCTCGCTGTCCTCACGTTTTCCACGCCGTCCGCATCATCGCCTCCTCAACACCCTCGCCTTCCTCTTTTTTTTTTTGCTTCGCCCAATAAGCCCATTGGACCAAAAAGCCCCCAGAGGCCCCTGGGCGCGCGCCCAGGAGGCATCCAGAAGGGACCAACCAGCCTTGAAAGCCTGCCGTGAGGCACCCAAGAGGCTCTCCAAGGAGGAGCCTCCGCAAAAGGAGCGGAGGAGGGCGGGGAAGAGTGATTCACCTCTCGCGTACACCGACCAGCCCATCCAGAAGCAGATTGCCGGGCGAGTTGCCTTGATCAGGGAAGTGTAGAAGAGTGCAGTGTAGCAACTGCCTTGGAAGTGTTTCTCGGAGGTCTCTTGGAGCCATCTTTGTGCTCTCTTGGGGTCCTCGCGGAGCCACTTGGGGCCTTCTTGGGGCTCTCTTTCTTGGGGTTGTCTGGGGGGATCTGGGAGGTCTTTTGGGGGCAGTTCCGGGCCCCATGGCTCAAAAAGAGGGGGGTAATGAATTCATGTCCCCCCCTCGGAGGCTCAAACATTGCTTCTTGGATCCCTTTTGGGGCGCTCGTGGGGCGCTCTTTGGGCCCTCTTGGGGCCCTCATGGGCCCCTCTTGGGGCTGTCTTGGGGCCATTTGGGGGCCATATGGAGGTTAGAACAGCCAATCGGAAGCGAAAAGGCGAGAACGAAGCAATAGTGATTTCCTGCATGTTTTGAAGCTATTTTGGCTCTTGGGGAGGTCCATGGCGGGCAAGAGCACTTGAAACGGTCGTTCAGGAAGAACCCAATGGAAGCACGGTGGCCCGAGGAAGCCCCCAGGGGCTCCCAGAAGGCTCCCAGAAGGCGCCCAGGAGGCATCCAGAAGGGACCCACAAGCCTTCAAAAACTGCCGTGAGGCCCCCAAGAGGCTCTCCAAGGAGGAGCCTCTGCAAAAAGAGCTGACGAGGATGGGAAGAATTTTCAGGGTTGGGCGAGAATGAGGGAACGATTGCGAATAATATTCTTATAACGACGATGTCGGATAATGCAAAAGGAGTCCTCGCTAAAGTGTATGTTTTCCCTTTTTGTCCTTCCGCCCATGCCAAGCTTCAAGGACCAGGGTGCGTGGCGCGAAGCGCCAATGTAGTCTTGTGTATGTATTCAGACATACATACACATGTGTATACATAGAGAGAGATAGAGAGAGGGAGAGAGAGGAGAGAGAGAGAGAGAGAGAGAGAGAGAGAGAAACAGAGAGAGAGGGGGAGAGAGAGAGAGAGAGAGAGAGAGGGCGAGAGAGATGGCCCTGGCGTGCAGGTGGTCTAGGGAATGGGCTTGAGACTTCGGGGCCCTGGTGCTCTTTCTGTGGCCACTGGGCAGCTCTTGGGCGCCCCTCCCGACCGCCACTGGCTCGCTTGCTATACTCCGCGGGGGCGGTCGGGAGGTCCCAAGCGCCAGGCGGGCGGTCTTCGGGGGCGCCCAGGAAGCCCAGGGACGGGGCGATCGTCCGAGGCAGGCCTGCAGCTGGAGCGCGCGAGCCACGGAGGCGTGCCTTCCCTGGTGGGATGTCCGCAGGCGCGCGCCCCCGCGCGCGCGCACGCGCGCGCGCATATCCACTTTTGGCCTCTGAAGGTCGGTGGGCATCCAGCCAGGCGGCTTCGCTTCCTCGGACAGTGCGGGACAGGTCACGTGAGCGACGGGCCGCACAAGGTCGGAGGCCTAGAGGTTGACACCAGCACCAACATCGGCGGCGTGCTTCCACCGAGGGAAGATGATCCCATCCAGGTGATGGTGGCAGTACGCGGGCTTTCTAGGTGGCCGAAAGATGACCAGAAACACCAGAATCCAGGATCATCTTCCTCCCGTGGAGGCAACCCCCGCTGTTGGTGTTGGTGCCAATGTCCAAGCTTCCGATAAGGCGCAGGGACGAGAGGAGGAGGAGGAGGGAGAAGGGGGAGGAGGAGGAGGAGGAGGAGGAGGAGGAGGAGGGAGGAGGGAGGAGGAGGAGGAGGAGGAGGAGGAGGAGAGGAGGAGGAGGAGGAGGAGGAGGAGGAGGAGGAGGAGGAGGAGGAGGAGGAGGACAGAAGCCGAAGCTTCCGATAAGGCGCAGGGACGAGCTCCCCCGGACGCAGGCAGACAGGCCACAGGCCGAGTCCAGCGCATTTTCTCTCAGGGGGGAGAGCCGGCCGCGCGAGAGGGGGGAGGAGCAGGGGAGGAGTGCCTCCTGCAGTGGGAGATGCGCAGGGAGATGGCCCGCTTCCGCGCCGTGTCGAAGCGCCACGAAGAGAGAGAGAGAGAGAGAGAGAAGCGAGGGCAGCAGCCTCATCGAGAAGACGCCTGCTGAGGGACGCCGAGGGGGAGACACACGCAGACACACACACACTTGCAAGTACGCAGCGAACTCAGGCCGAGCCAAATTGCCCGCCCGCCTACACGGACAATTGTTAGACACCGATATGCCCAGAACAGCCGCGGCATTGCGCGGTGGCTGACATCAAGAAGTTCAACCGCTTCGAGAAGCGTCACACCAACCTGGCCGCGCATTGCTCCCCGGCCTTCGATGTGAAGGAGGGCGACAATATTAACCAGATCAGCCCCCACCCCCCCGAACCCTCCTCCTCCTCCTCCGTCTCGTCCTCCTCTCGCCCTTCTCCTCTGCTTTCTCCCTCCCTCTTCCCTCCTCCCCCCTCTCTTCTTCCTCCCTGCCTCCTTTTTCCGCCCTCCCTTCCTGAAGGAGGGCGATATCCTCACAGTGGGCCAGTGCAGGCCTCTGTGCAAGACGGTGCGCTTCAACGTGCTCAAGGTGGAGAAGAACCAGATCTTCGGAACCGCACGGAAACAGTTCCGGCTGTTCTGAGCGGTTCGTCGGCGACCAGAGTGGCTCCGGAGAGAAAGTGGTCGATGACGTCGAGGATGAGGGGTGGACGAGAAAAAGAAAAGAAGGAGGAGGAGGAGGGGGAGGAGAAGGAGGAGGAGGAACAACATCCCTTCCTCCGCCTTATCCTCTCCCGCCCCCTGATCTTTCCAGCACTCGTCCTCATCCTCAAATCCTCAGCATCGATCTCAACACGTCTCCTCTCCTTGTCGTTCTCCTCATCGTCCTTACTTCCCTCCTCCCCATCTTTCCTTCTCCTCCTCCTCCTCCTCCTCCTCCTCCTCCTCCATTGTTCCTCCTCCCCCTCCATTTTCTTTCCCTTCTAAAAAACTCCTCGTAACACTGCCTGGCGCGAGAATGAGGAGGAGCTTGGTTGGAGGAGGGGGACGAGGAATGGGCGGGAGGAGGACTGAGGATTACAACCAGGATTCGAAGCAGCTGGGTCAGCGAAGGAGGAGGAGGGGAGATGACGGGCCGCCACGGATGGTAGCGCCTCGCTCGAGCAAGCCGTCCACGCAGCCGTCCGTGGCCTTCCAAGGGGCCCCTTGTGGCCAGGGCCGGGGCCTCAGCCACAGAGGCGGGCGATCCCCGTCCGAGAGGACCGTCGCAGCGGCCGTGCGTGCCCCCTCCCCCCGGGGCCCTGGCGGCCACGGGCCGAAAGGAGCGCCCGAAGAGGGACGCGTGGGTCCGCGTGGGTCCTCCTCCTCCTCCTCCTCCTCCTCCTCCTCCTCCTCCTCCTCCTCCGCGTGGGTCCGCGCGGGTCCTCGGCGGCAGTCTCGCCACACGCCTCGCACAAGGGACTCAGCATTGGGGCCAGAGCAGCAGTGCCTGCGACGCACAGCGCTCTTTCCCCACCACCGCCGCCCCGCAAGCCTCCCGAGCCGCCCCACCCCCCCCCACTGGGACTCGAAGGGTCTTGTCTCGCTTCAAGTCGCTGCGTCTTACAGAGACCCTCTACCACGAGAACAGGCTCGATGGTGAGACGACACGCCGCGCCAACTACGCATGCTGCGCTCCAAAGAGTGCTGGCTTCGGAGTGGGGCCCCATGAAGCCCAGAGGCCCCAACGAGGGCCCCACGAGCCCGAAACACGGACCGCGGGGCAACACTGATGGGGCCCGTACTGGTCCGAGCAGCTCGTCTGCTGACGAGCGCGGCCATGCAAACTGTGAAGTCAAAGCGGAGTGGTTCTCTTCTACGGGAGAGCAGCTGGGTGGGAGAAGGGGGAGGGGTAACAGGAGGAGGAGGAGGAGGAGGAGGAGGAGGAGGAGGAGGAGGAGGAGGAGGAGGAGGAGGAGGAGGAGGAGGAGGAGGGGGGAGACGAGGAGGAAGGCAAGGAGGAGGAGGAGGACGCTACTTATGAAGAGTAGGAGGATGATGATGAGGAGGAGAAGGAGGAGATGGCCAGTGTAAGCCCAAGACTCATCAACGATGATGCTAGAAGCCCTCTCTTCCAGTTCCCTCTTAACCGGCTCCTATAGGGATCTGTTTCACTGCGGGAAGAGCCCCTTCGGAAGAGAACCTTCACAACATCTTCTACCGTGCCAGAGCACCATTCTTGGGATTTCGACGCCGTGAGCCAACATTACTTTTAAGACCTGACGATCCTAAATCGTGCCTGAACGCCATTTCTTGGGACGCCAGTTCGGGGACGCCAGCACCTCGAATTCACATCATTGTCGCGCCCAGACAGGCCTAACTCGTGCCAGAACAGAATTTCTGGGACACCAGCCACAATAATCCATGACGCGATTGAGACCTGTTCGGACGAGAGTGCGCGGTGCTAAAGCGAGAGCCACATTTTGAAAAGGAAACGCCCTCCATCCGTCAACCTTTTGCAAACGTTTGAAAATAATGTGCGCGGCGGTGAGGCGAGAGCCGCATTTTTAAAGCTGCTCGCCCTCCATCCGCGAAGCCTTTGCAAGTTATCAAGACGAATGTACGCGGCGCCGAGGCGACCGCCACGTTCTGAAAACGACCCGGCCTCCGTCCGTGAAGCTCTTGCAACATGTTAACAACGAATGTGCGCGGCGCTAAGGCGAGAACCATATTTTGAAAACGGCCTGCCCTCCATCCGTGAAGCTCCTGCTATTCTCAAGCTTCAGGATCATATATGGTGGGGAAGTCTCAGGAGAAACGCCCGGCCCGCACAACCGACCCGTCTTGGGGTGCGACAGGGAGGAGTTACGCATGAGGAAGAAGGATGGAGGCGGACGCGGAGGTAGAGGAAAAGGAAGACAATGAGGAGGAGGAGGAGGAGGAGGAGGAGGAGGAGGAGAAGGAGGTGGAGGAGGGAGGAGGAGGAGGAGGAGAAGGAGAAGGAGGAGGAGGAGGCGGAGGAGATGGAGAAGGAGGAGGGGGAATAGCAGCTGTTGTGTGAGGAGCACGAGGAGCAGCGGCAGAATCAGCTGCAGGAGCAGTGGGCCTTCAGCTTCGCAGCGCGACGGCCGCCGTTGAGGCTCGAGTGCGCGCGGCAGGCAAGGAGGAGCAGCGGCCCCGTTCCATCCTCCCTTTTCTCTCTCTCTCTCTCTCTATATCATCTATCTCTCCCTCTCTTCCCCTCTCTCTCTCTCTCGCTCTCTCTCTCTCTCTCTCTCTATATTGCTAAGGCCTTACGGCTGGTGCCGCCGACCATGAAGACGACGACGACGACGAATACGAGGAGCAGGAGGAGGAGGAGGAGGGGGATTAAGGTGGAAGGGAGCAGGAGAAGGCGAAAGAGATAATCCCCATGTGGGCCGAGGGAGTCGTAGCAGAGATAGACAGGGAGCCTTGTGGCCTGCGGCCCTTCCCCTCCACCGTGCTGGGGTTGTGGTTGAAAGGCCTCTTGGATGTTTTCGGGCCTGTGGGGGCCTCCGTTGGGCCTCTTGGGGGTCTCTTGGGGGCCTTCCGGGGGCTTCTTGGGACGGGAAGCTCGAAATGTCGGTTCGTGGTCCTCTTCTCGGGCCTGCTTGGGGCCCTCTTGGCGCGTCTTGGCGCTTTTTGGGCTCCGGGACGCCCAGGGGCGGATGCGTATCTGACCCCCCCCCGGGACCCCCCCGGGACCCCCCCGGGGACCCCCCCCCTCCTCGGCGAAAGAGGGATCAAAGGGAAGGGGCTTCCCTTCGACTTAAAGTACGACGTTGCTACGGTTTTCTCTCGCTGGCAGGCTTGAAGAGGAGGGTGCAGGGAAGGGGGACGACGGAGACGCAGGGAAAGAGGACAACGGATGCGTCGACTGAGCGCACGCCGACGGGGCCCACACGCCGACAGGGTCGTGGTTTTTTTTTTTTTGTTGTTCTTGTTCTATCTCTCTCTCTCTCTATCTCTCTCTCTCTCTATCTCTCTCTCTCTCTATCTCTCTCTCTCTATCTCTCTCTCTCTCTCTCTCCGCCGCTCCGTCCATGTTTCCCCTTCCTTGTGGACCACTTTGGTCCTTCGCGCCGCCAGTGGTGTTTGTAGTGCGGGTCGGGCGTGTCGCCTCAGGCTTCTTCATCGTGGGGTGTGATGCTGAAGCCTCCGATTCATCATTTCTGTTACGCGGATGGAAGGCGGTCGTTTTTTTTTTTTTTTTTTTTTTTTTTTTTTTTTTTTTTTTTTTTTTTTTTTTTTTTTTTGTTTTTTTTTGTTTTTTTTTTTTTTTTTTTTTTTTTTTTTTTTTTTTTTTTTTTTTTTTTTTTTTTTTTTTTTTTTTTTTTTTTTTTAAAAAAAAAAAAATATAATATATATATATATATATAGATATTTATTTTTATTTATTTATTTATATATATATATAACAAACAAAAATGCTTTCCTTTCCACGCCGTGCATCTCCGTTTTAGACATGTATGGCGTGTCGCCTCTGGCTTCTTCATCGTGGGATTTGATGCTGAAGCTTTCGATTCATCATTTATGTTGCACGGATGGAAGGCGGTCGCTTCTCTAATTTATGTGTTCTTCTCCACGCCGTGCATCTCCGTTTTATTCATGTCTGGCACATCCACGATTGGACAACAGGTGGCTTTCGAATGTGGCTCTCGCTTCCGCGCCAGGCGCATCCGCTTGCCATCTGTCCAGCAACAGCGCGGGTGGATTAGACTATTTTGTTTAATTGAACTTTCAATCCGCATTTCGTGTAAGTAGCGGCTACCACTTGAAGCTTGTGCGCCATTGGCACGAACGGGTGTGACAGCTTTCCAACATAACTGTATGTTGCCTGGGACGCCCTTGGTTTATCAACGCGCAACATTCACAAAGACGGAGGACTGATAATTTTCAAAACCGTCCTCTCGCTGAACAGCTGCTCTTTGTACGTCATACAGCTAGAACTATGGAGGTGGACCCCTTTCCAAACAGAGCTCTCTATTCTGAATGGCATGCCCACGAGGCGCTCGTCTTTCAAGGGGTCGTTCCCAGACAGTGATATGAAGGCTTGCGTGGACCCGTGAGAAGGGCACGTGGGACAAGGACGCGTAGCATAGCAATTACTATTATTCATTACCCTCTTCCCTCCTCCTCCTGAGACTTCTGGCGACGCGGGTAAACTTCATTCAGGAGGTTGTTTCATGTCTCTTTCGGCACGATATGGCCGTTCCGAGGACACGGTCGAGAACCCCAGGGGCTGGCATCTCGAAAGAAACGATTCGTCGGAGGTATGGGGCTTCCTCTCTGATCATCCTCCTGATGCTCCTCCCCCGCCTCCTCCCTGCTGCCTCTTCCCCTTCCTCCGTGTTCTCCTCCCCAAAAGTCTCACAGCTCCCCACTGATCCTCTTCACCCCAAGACCGTTGCACCTCGCAGCGCCGCCAGGTGCGATATCATCGCCCGTTTTTCTTACGCGATTCATCCTCTTCCCCTCCACCACTCAGTGGGTTCGCGCTCGTGTATGCAGCGGTGGCGTGGAGGTTCACAGACATTGAGGTGCTGCCGTCCATGACAGTTGTTGCCCTCGCGCAGGCAAAATGGCCACGGTGGGGACGATCTGTAAGGAATGTGCCCAGGCGGCCTCAGACCATGGAGGATTCCTTACTAGCCGAGCTTCGGTCGGTGCTCCGCTGGTTTTCAGTCGTTGACTTCCTTGTCCACTGGTTCCTCATA